ACCGATGATTTCAATACAATGGCCAAAACCTTTTTTTCCCTTCAAGTTTTCTATTACTTGTCCGAAAAAATTGCTATCGCTGCGTAATGTGCGTTGATAATTGAGGTATGGTGGGGATTTTGGTGGATAAAATGGTGGTCATATATTTGTTGATCATTTCGAAGATTTTGTTTATCTATTAAATTAAGCAATCCCGACATGCGGACATGCTATGTAACATAGCTTGCAGTTGGTATGGCCAAAAAAAACATATTGTTGCCAAGCACTGTTTTGAAAGGTTAATCTTACTAGAAAATTGATAAGATTTATTTATTTATATATCATTGTAATTTTATAATTGCTTCGGAGCAATTTCTCATGTAATACAGTGATGCCCATGTAATACATGCAGCGATGGGGCGTCAGGTTGGCGTCGCGGTTCTTTCCTCGCCTTCCACCACTGTGACCCGGGTTCGAATCCCACCTGGGCCAACATGAGGATTGGGTTTTCAGTCCCTACCTGATTCTGTGGGTTTTCCCCCAGAATATTGTTCTGGGGTTTTCCTCCCACCTCTAAAACCGTAATTTCGTCTCATTGTCTTCTCTCTACAGGTTTCTTCAGGCTTGCCAGCTACAGCGTCCAGAGCAGTTTTTAGGAATCCTTGGTTTCATTACCAGAAACAATAATACTTCTTATTCAAATTGAGTGGAGTTGGTGGCTTAGTTCTTTGTTTGTTCATGACTCGTGTCTTTTGGTGTGTCGGTGTTAGTTTGTTTGTTGGTTGGTTGGTTGATTTGTTTGCTTGCTTTCTGGGTTAGTTGTTTTCCTTCAAGTGAGCATGCACGTTATTCTCTCAATTTATTTTGTTTTCAAACAAATCGGTGAAAAATAACACCCTCATGATCCAAAACCATTTGAAAGAGATATTCATCGGCAATTCTTGAGCTTTGCCGAACCTACCGTCTGCTAATCCAATAAGCACACCCCAACCGATAAAGAAATTAAGCCTTTCGCATTCAGTGACTGAGACAGCTAAATTAAAAGCATCAAAATATTGAGCCCCGCTTAACCACCCTGGACATGGAAACATGTTTAGTCTTTTGTCGATAATACATGAGATTTTTCCGAGGCACGAAGCGAACAGCGGCCGACTTCACACCGTCAATCCAGGCAGATTCGTGGGGGCTTTAGCGGCTAGGTAACCGGGTCGCACCGGCGCCCGAGTTTCGGTCGGTAAATCCTCCCTTCCGTGTGTAGACAAATACAGCTCTTCACAGCTATACCACCCATGTGTAAGATTAGGCAGCGGCCAATCCGGGCCGCGGCCCAAAATCCTTCACCGGAGAAAAGAGAAAAATCCCCCTTCCCTGTTTTATTTGCCCGGTAACATTGGGAATAATTCACAACACGTCCTGGTGGAATAGCATGCATGGACGATCATTTCTCCCGAGTGAATCTTTTTTTGGAGTTTCCGTGCCACCGCGGTGCACGACATGCCCATAGTTTTGGATTGTTCACCCTGGAAAAAGATTCGTGTTACTTGCTACTCAGGTAGGTTTGGTTGTTGGTTCTCGTAGCGTTTAGAAGATTTTAGACCCACCTTCGCATAGTTGCGAATGATTCGTCTTAATGTGCAAGTTCCTTGATTTTTCCTGCAAGGTTTATGATGATTGATCTGCTGTCCTTTTACCCTGTGGAGAGTGTGGCCTAGTGGTTAGGGTTCGTGACTCATGATCAGAGGGTCAGAGGTTCGAATCCAGCAACGGGCCATGTTTTGTCCTTGGGCAAGCCACTCCACTTAGGAGCATAAACGTGTACCGGCATGTAGTTGAAACCGGAGATAAAGGCCGGCCTGATGGGCCATATTGCTTCATGACAGACTTCACTGACTTATACCGTTTATGCTGGTGTTCTTATCGTACATGTCCACAGAACGTAGTCAATTCTACAAGAGCTAATGGCGCATGATATAACCAGGAAAAATTCCATGGATCTGCTGAGCCAAAAAAAAAAATTGCTTAGAATCTTTATATGCTTAGGACAAATAAGCCGAGAACCAGTGACAAGCGATATAATGAATGACTTTTTAACTGGTTACCTGATTTCGCTTAGCAAAGTCTGTGCTTAGTAAATGTCTGTACTCACTGATATTCGCTCTGGTCTTTGCGGCCAAGCTAGCCGCTTTCACAGGTAGTATAATTATGCTTTTATTTTCAGCTTTTTTGGGGCCTATATCCTTAATTAAAGGTCAGAAAACCTTTCTACTGAGTTCACCTTTAAGTACAATAAGATGCTCTGATAATTATATATGGGCACGTAGTGCCACATATCATAGTCAGTACACATTGGGTAATTCATGCACATGTGTTTGAAATAGCCATTAGAAACGGATACGAGTAAGGGAGACACATGGGGCTTGTAGTTGCTTGCCAAATCACCATTTTGCGTAGTAATCTCATCTGGCACTCTATATATATGGGCAATGTGCGTCTCACATTAAAATGTTAGGACGCATGAGTCTGGTGAAACAATCAGACAAAATGGTGATAATGTAGCGAGTTGCTCCGAACCGCATGTCTCCCATTCTCGCATGGGTATGGTGCGGGTAGCTACGTATGCAGCTCGGGTATAAAAACTACATTGTTTTGCATGTATTTTATATTCGTATGGTTCTTTCTCAAAACTCACATTATATACATCTTAACATTTTGACGTGAAGTGCACATTACACATGGTATGCCAGCTGAAATAACCACGCAAAGTGTTGATAACCAGCAACTTTTTTTTTACCGAGCCTCATAAGTTTCCCGTACGCGCATCGCTTCCACTATAGCGATGCACGGCGTGCATATATGGTCCAACCTGCGCAGTCTTACTACAGCAGCTGCAGCACAAATTGGTGCGTTGCCATCCCAATCGCATAGGCGATTTGGAAAACCTTAGCAAGAAAAAAATCTGAAAGAGTAGCAGATCTTCACATTGCTGGAGGTTATGTTACCGAAGCGACACATTTCTAATTCCTGGCAAAAAGTTTGGACAGTCGAACCTATGGGGTCAAATTTAACCGAAGCTACTAAACGCATAAAACTTTAACTGATGTCTGAACTCGAAAATGTCATGAATTCTTCTTATGCAAATAATATAAGAATCGACAAATTGAAGAAAAAAATGACATAGGCTTACTAAACAGGAAAATATAATTATTGAAACCAATTTCGTTTGAGTTGCCGATGCATGTCTCAGCGTTTCATTTTTGGGTACATGTCAACACGACCCTTGACATTGAGCTTGCTCAAGAGCGCATGCGTCAGATCTGTGACTGACATTATTGTAAGAATGCGAGTCGGTTCGCAAACGATGAACTGCCACAACAAAAGAATTATATAACTCCTTTTTAAAATATTGCATGTACCAGCTTTTTGATATTTTCTTTCTTTCTTTTTCTCTCTCTAAAAGTTATGGTATATATTGTGTTTTACAAGGTTGTTTACGGGATGTAGCCTGAAAAAACTGATACCCAAAACATATGGTGCAATTAAAATAATACAAATGAAAAACGACACTACTATTGACTTATAGCCTTTATTTCCTTTGTTCACTATCGAAAGCACAATATAGAAGGTGGTACCTGCAACTGATATTTAGTCGTATATAAAACCATTAAAATTTAGTCTTATCGTTAAGACGCCAGCTGGACGTATCACGTATGATTTTAAACCCTTAAGCTTTAAATTAATTTTGGCCTGTCTCAATTTGGCATGATTGATAAATGACCATAGAGATTAATCCCCCGTGATTAGTATGTCACTAACCTTGTCACACAGCGAAAAATCGCAAAATATTGAAAACAAACTTTTGATATATGAAAATTTAGTCCATACCATACCGGTGTGGTCTAGCGGTTGAGCACAGGATTCATGATCGTGAGGTTGTGGGTTCGAGCCCCGTCGTGGCCATGCGTGTTGTCCCCTTGAGTAAGGCGCTTTACCTCAATTACCCGTCTCAACCCTGGTGTTAAATGGGTACCGGCATTATTCAATGCTGGGAAGGTAACAGACTCGCTGTGGAGGAGGTGTGGCGATCCCCCCACAGCAGCATATGAGTCTGGCCCAATCGCTAACGAAAAAGAGGGCACTCTTTTTGTAAACACAGGTTCGTCATCTTTTACCACTCAAGATAACAGTTCAACTATAATTCAAATCAATTTGAAGTTGACACATTTAGAACCTGAAGGCTGTTTCGTCAAAATTTTCGAACCGAAATTAATATTTTTTCTGATTCTGTTTTTGTGAAATATGCGATCCAAATTGCACGTGTAAGTATGATTTAATCCTTGGGATACGTTGACAGACCTGGTAGAGTAACCCTTTCGCTGTAATCTTCATTTTCTGTGTGGAATCGCATTTTCTGTGTGGAATCGTCTGGTTTGTTTTTTTTAATACACTAATTAATATATCCACGACATGCACTTGAGAAAACAGATTTCCATGCCTAACACATTTCATTTTAGTTTTGAGTAATACAAATAGAATTGTTAATGCATTTTTGTATGTTGCATTGGAAATTGCGTATAAAGAGAGCTCGTATTTACAAAAAAAACCATATACGTTCTTCCTTTTTTTCATACAAGAAACTCGTCAGGCAGATTGGGCAACATAAATATTGTTAGTGGTCTTGATCTAGGTAATTACAACGGCTGCAAACAGGTCCGACGGTGAGATTTTTTTCAGCGGGACGGGTGGGAACAACAGACTCCCAATTATCGCGTCTGCAGGCCGGGACGGGCTTAAGCGGCTAACGGTACGCGGTGCGTGCTGGGTCCGGGGATTATATCCGTCTGTATCGTCTGGCACCCTTACGTTCAACACAACCAGACCATACACACGGTCTGGTATGCCTTGCGTAACAGGGAGTGGTTTTTCAACTAGATGCAAATCAACCTTATAGCGGTAAACCGCAACGTCATCTGTTATGTTTTGACCAAGCTTTCACCGTTTGCTTTTCTCCAAAAATATCACAGGGGTTCTGTGACTGGAAGAAGAAACTTGAAGACGGTGTCGATCGTTGGGAGATTCGCGAACGAATGGTGTCTTCATGCGCAAGACAGACAGGTAAGGATTTTGAAAAAGTTGATGGTGGTTTAGTTTGAAGTGACTTTTCTTTGGCCTGCTGTGGCAGAAAAAAATAACAACTTTTAAAATCTGTAACGGTCATGGGACAAGCAATTCAACCAGTAAAGCGTACACTAATGAAGATATTTGACAAATGACGATGTTAAAAACAGAACTGTTCAGTCGATGATTTGATAAGTCTTGCTTTGTGACCAAAAGCCAATAAGACGTAGGCCCTAGAGGAAAGAAGTTTAAAAAAAACAGCCATGGCCGCCATCTTAGGTGTTTACGTCACCAAACCACAACCCCAAGGACGTTTCGCGCTTTCTGTCTTTCTTCCCCTTTCAGGTAATAAACCCGAAAGTAATTTTCAGAGAGGAAATAATTGACAAACCTTGACGTGTAGATTACGAAAGGTTTTCACTTTTTTGACTAAGTGTGATAAATGATTGAAATTGGCGCCTGGATTCAGACGCAAATAACGCGACTCCGAGGCCAGTCACCGTGCAGCGTCGCACCTCATGCCGAAAATTGCCCCGTGTTGCCCGCCTCCGTACACGCTTCAAGATCCCCTTTGATTGGGCTGATTTCTTGCGGCCCCAGCCGCGGTAAATGACCCTTGTCCAACTGAAGAAAAGAACTTTTGCAGTTTTGGGAAAGTAATAAGGTATATTGAAACTTTTGATTACCTTTGACATGTGTGAATGACGGATATTATTAATGGTCAACTTCTCCGGGATCGGTTGCTGACAGAGTTGTCATTTATAAATTACCTCACTAAAAATGTTAATTACATGGAAATCGGTGTAACACCAGATGCCGTTCCAATTCAAGTTTGTTTTCAATTACCAAGGATTTGAAAGGTTATTTTTTTTAGGAATATAATTCAAAAGTTGACCAGGGAGCGAGTGTGTGCTTTAGATTGCTCTTAATTTGAGAATGATGCACGCGTGCGTCAGAAATTTAAGTTTAATTAAAAAGTAATCTTAGCGGAGAGTCATATCTAGTAAAATTGAATTTTGTCTTTTATGGGATGTAGGCTTATCAAGACGGTCATTTAGATATTTCAACCAAATCGTGGGTACCTGTGGGGAGCCTTATTACTGCAAAAACCTTGGTGTACATGTAATGTAATTTTGTGTGCAATCCTTGAAAATGCACCTTGTCCCATTCAACCTTATTTTCAATTTTCTTTTTGCCGTTTCTAAGGGCATTTTGGTGCCTTTTTGGTTTTTTTATGCTAATGCAAATTTGTATATTCATGAGCAAAAGTGTGATGTCATTTCAGGCAGATGTTACAGCTATTTTGGCAGATACATTTTCCAGAATATTGGATAATTTGTTGTAGCCTATATTTTCTTTTCTTTGGTGATTCGTTGTTGTTTCAGTACTTGGCAGTAGGCCAAGGAGCAAAGTTTTCTGACAAATGTTGTCAATGAGCAAATTTTAGGTTCAAAATTTGACCAGAAAACCCCTCAATTGAACAGTGTCTTCCTGATAAGACTTCACAGCAACAAAATCTTGGAAAATATTATATGTTTTAAGAAGTGCACTTTTCAATATGATTAACTAAAAAGGGATGTGACGTTGTTTTCATACATTTTAAGAGGAGTAGAAAGTTGCACAAAATATGTTCCCAAGTAAAATTCATGTCATGGCCCCTCAATGTTTTACACTGATGGTCCTATATGGATACCATCGATGTTAATTAATCTAACGCTACTCCGTGTAGCAGTGTATACCCGGACTCCGACAAATGGTTTTCTGGTCAAGTTGATGTCGAGAATTGAAATAGTATCGCTCGTTCCAATCATCATGTAAATATCAACGTTTAACAATTGACAGCATAAAGTCAAACCTCTTAGCCTGATTTGACCTTCATTTTGCAGCTCAGCCGAGCAAGAATACTGTAGCATTTGGAGCAATTTCACTTGACATACAGGATAAAATGCTTGCGTTGAAATTAATGGGGTCTGGTCGGTTTCTTTTATATTGGTTTCATTCGTGTAATTGGATTCATTGAAAATGTATATCCCCGAAACAAGAATACATTACCCCTGATACATTTTACTAAATAAAAAAAATGAAGTTGAATCCTCCATTTCTTTTTATTTGTCTTACATCTTTGACCCTAAGGACTTACAAGTTTTGGACACTCGATATGGGTACGCGTGCTTCCATATTCCCGAAGCTATGCCGTCTTTTACAAGAGGATAGGTAAAAAAGAAGGGGAAATGCTTTAATGCCGAGTAAATGAAGTCAAAATCCCGCGATCGTGTGGCCAGAAAAACAAGAAACGTCGTTAATTACAAAAGGGGATCTACGGAGTTAAGCATGACTCCGGGCGATGGGGGGTAGAAGCTTAATCCAGGCAAAACACGGGCCGTAACTGCGGCAATATTCCCCCGTTGTACCTAGGGACAGCGCGCGGTCTCGCCATACATCACCGCGTGCATGTGGACGCTACAACGACCGAGTCTTTTTTTGTCTTCAGGCATGCAAAATTGACTCGAGCTCAGTAATCCCCCTTCAATTCAGTCGAGAGAGAGAGGAACTCGGCAACCTGAGGCCTGTAACTAGCCCAGGCTAATAAGGTTCACATCATCTTACACTCATATATCAAATTCATGTCCATGCCCTGATGTATACGGCAATATGTCCTCGTGGTGTTTTATTAGCTCACTGCGCTCGTGCCACGAGGGGGGATACGACACGCGGTCGTGACGACCAGCACCGCGGCTTCCATCGTTCAACTCCCCGTGAAAATGGCCAATTTCTCGGCCATTTGCACCGGTAATCTCCGATGGGGTGTTTTGGCACGCGAGGTTCCGGCAAAAGTCGTGAGACCTGAAGTGCCTTATCAAAACTGAGCAAATTTGATCAGATAATTGAGAACTGCTCGCACACAAAATTAATAATTTGTGAACTCCTACGGGTACAGGATGTTGTCTGGTAATTGCGTAAAGTGGGTTTGACAGAACATTATGTAAACAAAAGTGAAAATAAGGGAAAACATCTTACCTGGAGCTGTTTGTATCGTAAGACACATCTTTCAAATAGCAGGATTATAAAAAAAAAATCCACCTGCTTTAGTAAATCGATGTCTTAACGGCATAGTCACAATAATGAGCAAAATCCCAATTCTGGCTAAAAAAACTGAAATAACCTGCACTGGGTCTGACCTTGTACTTGAACAGCAACTATAGGCCTTTATCATGCTGCTACCATTTCAGTCATGGTCCCTGTATCCAATAACAGTACGATATTGGCTTTTGTGCAAAAAGGAACCAGACTATTTTGCCTTCCAGCCTCACTTTGGTTACGTTGATTTGAATGGGAAAAATTCAAGATGGCCGCAACATGATAATGGTCTATATAGACCATAATAAACCGAGTTCATTAATGTTTTCAATTTGAAATAGCGCTCATTTTTATTGAAACACAAACAGTGAAATGCAAAACATGGACATAAAAAAAAGAAGTTGTAAGAAAACGGATGTCAATTGTCCTTAAAGTCATAATGGTAAACGGTCGATGTTACTAACAAAGGATAATCAAACAAACCTGCAGCAACATTACATTATCATTATGTATAGGCCTGCACGAATGATCACAGACTATGTCTTCAAGCAAAGTGAACTTTAACCCTTGAACTTTGACAGATGTGTGACGTCATTTTTGTCATTCATGATCGAACCCTAGTGTTCAGGATAAGGTAAAAAATATATTTTGATATCGACAATGATGAAAGGCTCCATGCCTAATCAAGGGCGGATCCAGAACACAATTCTGGGGGGGCCAAAAAAATATTTGGTCCACCCAAAAAGTGGGTCTAAAAAATTACGGCGTGGGGTTCGGGGCCCGCTAGGGCCCCGAAAATTTTTTGGATTCTAGATGCTCTGTGGTGCGATCTGAGGCAATTTCTGACCACTTCAACCAATTTTTTTGAGGAAAAGATGGTGGTGTACTCATTGCCTGCCTTTATTGCGATGTTACATTAAAAAAAAAAAAATTGGTTTCGTTTTGGGGGGGGGCCATGGCCCCCTTTGGCCCCCCCCCCCCCCTGGATCCGCCCTTGTGCCTAATAGCCTTTCACCTTTCAAGGTCGGCATTCGTGGTGCAGGAAGAGATTTCTTTTTCATTTTCCTATCATCTTCATCGCTGCATTACACTTGTTTTCAGATGGAAATATAGGTTCCTATAGTTTCTGAACAAAGAAAAAAGTCTGTAGATTTCGAGCAAATCTAGCGTTGTATAAACACGCAGTGTTCCAATTATTGGAGAAGACACATTGCCTTAGTTTTAATTAGTGAAAATTCTCAGATTTTGAGCAGAAACAAACTCTGCAGGTTCTTGTTTACTTTTGGCTGTTTTCGGCATCATTATACAGGAGTCAGCTGTATTCCCGAAGATCTAACGGCTGGGGTTTTATCTTTTTTTTTGCAAGTCCTGCATGCTACACAGTAATTGGAGTACAATCGCAGTTAAAATCTGACACCTGTAAGCTTATGAGGAAAAGATCCCTAAAACCCTTGGATTAGTCCCATGCTATCACATCTCCCTGGCTCGATCCGTCCGAATTCTGTATTCGATTACAAATTCGAGTGTCCGATGTCCGGCCTAGCCGAGCGGTATACTTCTCCGTTGACTGTCCCTCTTTGCTTCATGCTCTTCCCGGCCCCTATTCCCTGTCCGGATCCTGTGGTGTCTCTCTCATTCAAGCCGTAATTACCTGCTATAAATTTACACGGCCAGCCGGGCCCGGCTGCGCAAAATTCGTGACCCTGCTTAAAACAAAATACATCACCTAAAAAAAGGTCTATATCAACCGCATTCCCCTCTAAAAACCTGGTAGATGCTGCCAAGTTGCTTGATTTGGCGCGCATTAGTCGAGCAGACGGGTTTTGTAGCCTGTGGCCATTGTCGTGTATTACAAATTTTAAAGAGGGTTTCGAATGTTTATGCTCTACACATCCCCGGGCGTTGGTGTAATATCATCG